AGGTTACTACGAAGAAGGCTGACAGTTGGTGAAAAGAAATGGCTTTGAACCTTATTGAAGGTCACAGGGGTCGACTTTGTCAGAACATTTACACGACGTCTTCTGACTAACCAAAAGCCGCAGAAGCATGGTATTTGGCTGATAGTTTTCTATGACGAGTTTATAAAATTTGCAATAACAATTAACTTTAACATTTAAACGACTTCTTCTGATGAACAAAAATGCACAGAATCAAATTGTCCGAAAAGAAATGACCCTGACAATTATTCGAAGTCACAGGGGTCAAATTTGTTAAAACTCTTAATAATGACTTCTTCCTTACCAAAATGTGCAGAAACATGATATTTGGCTTCTGAGGATAAAGCCCGATAAAATTTGTGAAAAAGAAAGGACGATGACCAATATTGAAAGTCACAGGAGTTCAGTGTGTGGTAGAAAGTCTAGGTCAAAGCCTAACACATTTATTTAGAAGTTTAATCCAGGTCATAACTGTCATATTTTATATTTGAGTATAGGAAGCTTCGTTAAGTGAAAATCGATTGGATAAGCCCACTTTGAATGTCAGTGGTTTGCATGTCAATACATTTGTGATATTAACACAGATTCTGTTTTTGATTGTCATTGAACACCATTTGGCCTCTTATTATTTACAAACGTCATCAAACGGGATATGATTTTATTCCACTTTTCATGATTTCATTATATCTAAAAACAACACACTGAAAAATGGAGTCCCTGAAAGTAATAACTTGATCAATGTGTATTTTTTTCGCCCATGCGTAACGTGTGACGTATCTTTCTGTTGTTTCATAGCGCGTATTTTGTAGATCGACTACCTTCTATTACATACACGATAAGCCAGAATGTCCTGGTTTATGCACTGAAGCAACCAGGAAATGTCTCCAGTGTTATCTATCTGTTGTGATAAACATATCTCCGTTGACCATCTGTAGAACGGGATTGGTCTTCAGAAACGTTATGTACAGTAATTGAATTCTGTCTATATCTAGTCATCGCTTTTCATCATTGACCATTTGAGTTTTTACTTTCCAATAATGATCAACATGATGGTCTAATGGATAAAAAATGAGATTGAATTATTTGTAAATGGCGTCGTCAAAACCAATGTCGTGCTTTCGTCGATATTGAGTTTCGGTTGATTGAAGATGAAGGGCCATTTTTATGGAATGCGACGGAAAATAATGACTATTTTTACTTCCATACTCGCCGAGACGAAATGAAATAAAGCAAATGCAACGTGTTACATTGTGTTTGATGGCCAGAACTTATCATTACTGATAATTACCACTCCTGCCTGTCGGTTAATCAGAAAGAAAGAAAAATATGTCATGAAAACGGTGGCATGTGTGAAATGGACGACAGATTTGACATCCCTCCTCTAACAGAACTAAGGATTTTTTATTTGGCCCTTTCTTACCGAGTAAATCAGGTTGATATATATGTTAATGTGCAGTAAAGATAGGAATTTTTATAATCCTAAAAATATTTAATTTAAGTTATATTTTTTCCCACACGCAGTACGGAGCTACTCCTCTGGTTTGTTACAGGTAATTTTGCTGGGTGTTCGTAAACGTAGTTACTTGTTTTGTCTCCGGATTGAATATTCTAAGTTTTCGTACCAAGTGATTATTCTCAGCACAGGTCACCAATTTAAATGGAAAGCATTATCATGTTATTGTACGACGATCCGTTTTTGCTGTGGTCCGCGGTCATAAAATGCAGCTTCACTTAAAATATGTATTTCGTCTCTTTCTTCGCAAACATTACTAATGCGTCACTTGACACTACGACGCTTTTGAACTCATTAAGTAAGGAATTTGATGCACTCTCTAGTTGTCTTAGGGAATCTTATATTGCCTTCGTATTCAAATGACCTTAACTATTCCTGGGATGGAAAAAACATCACTTTAAGTTTCCAAACAATGCATTTCACTTTCAGACCGTATCCTTAAGCCACTTACTTGAATGCATGACTGTTGGGTTGGAATGTTCAGGAAGTACGAACGACCTGTCAAATCTGGCAAAGCACTAACACTTTGAGATTCGTCACACGTTAGAATTTGACAAATACTGGACAAGTTTGCCAGCTTGGTTGAATCTTTATTGTGGTTCCCGTATTACCGACTTATTGAATATGTTCTTAAATTTTTAGTCGTTGACTTGCTCAAATACCACCAAAACATTATCAACATGTCAACATTATCATAATCCAAACTCCGGGAAACGAGGATATTTTGAAATTGTTATAAGTTCGGGTAGAATAGTCATGATAGGTATCGCAGTCGATACGTTCGTGCTTCATAGCGTATACGCGGATCGATTGTGATACAGTTATCGCGCGAGAAACGAGGGAGAGAAATATTAAACAAAACGATATTAATTGCTGTATGAGTAATGACATGAATGAGCGGACTTTCAGCCTTAACAGTTTTTATCTATTACATTTTACATTCGACTGATCAGCTGATAGAATTTTATAAAGAAACAGGAACATTTTTATATTGTTACGCTCCCCATGACCTGATCTAGTAGGCAGTGGTAATTTAATAGAAATATCATTTGTGATGTATCATTAGTCTATTGAATCAATGACATAAATGTAACTCCTGTACAGTTCACCAAGAGGTCCTCACGCATAGTAGAAAGTCGTATAGACTCTAGGCCAAAGCATACCACAGGAGGTCGAAATATACCACACATCTACACACAGAACACAAATATACCTCATTATCCAAGGTCAAAATTACAATAATGTTCATACACAGGACCCAAATATAACACAGCATTTATATACAGGACCAAAATATACCACAGTATTTATACACAGGACCCAAATATACCACAGCATTTATATACAGGACCAAAATATACCACAATATTTATACACAGGACCCAAATATATCACAACATTTATATACAGGACCCAAATATATCACAGCATTTATATACATGACCAAAATATACCACAGTATTTATACACAGGACCCAAATATATCACAGTATTTATACACAGGACCCAAATATATCACAGTATTTATACACAGGACGAAAATATACCACAGTATTTATATACAGGACCAAAATATACCACAGTATTTATACACAGGACCCAAATATACCACACCATACAAGGCCGAATATGTAATAATATTCATACACAGACCCAAATATACCACAGTATTTATACACAGGACCCAAATATATCACAGCATTTATATACAGGACCAAAATATACCACAGTATTTATACACAGGACCCAAATATATCACAGCATTTATGTACAGGACCAAAATATACCACAGTATTTATACACAGGACCCAAATATATCACAGCATTTATATACAGGACCAAAATATACCACAGTATTTATACACAGGACCCAAATATACCACACCATACAAGGCCGAATATGTAATAATATTCATACACAGACCCAAATATATCACAGCATTTATACACAGGACCAAAATATACCACAGTATTTATACACAGGACCCAAATATATCACAGCATTTATATACAGGACCAAAACATACCACAGCATTTATACGCATGATCCAAATATACCACACCATACAAGGCCGAAATATACCACACCATACAAGGCCGAAATATACCACACCATACAAGGCCGAAATATACCACACCATACAAGGCCGAAATATACCACACCATACAAGGCCGAAATATACAACAGTATTTATACACAGACTGCAGAACGACATTAATAGAAAAGAATACAAAATTTCACTGTGTTTCATATTCTCTTGAATATTTTAAAACAAGTTTTGTGTTTCAAGTTTTCACATGAAAAATCCACGTTCAAGTACAAATAAAACCAATAGTACAGTATGCAACTCACCTGTAGGTTTGTGGGAAAAGGGGAAACTACCGTAGTAAGCTCGGGTTTAGTTTGAAGAAGTCTTGGTATTGGTTCCTGTACGATTAACTTGATTAGCTTTATCTTGAATCAAATTGTCATTCGATATCAAGGATCCTCACGCCGAATAAGACATCGCATGTACTCTTAAAGCATGTATAACAAAATGGACGGTCCATGGTCAGCCATTCCATTGTTTCGACTTAATAACTTTTTCATGTCAAAGCTTAAAATATGTGGCGTTTTAAGATTAAATCTGGCTTAAACACATAAAAAGGTTATGATCGCTAGTGATTACTTTTATATTGTACAAAAGAAATGTTTATGGTTATGTACAAATGGCAATGAAACGGCAATTCATCTTGTCAATATATATCCTGAAGATAAAGAAAAATGTATTGCAAATAATACATTATTTTCAAATGGTGTAATGAATATGAAATCCATCTAAATTGTATTACTGACGTAAACAACAGACATTTGTTTAAAATTTCTTTTTTACGTGATTAGTAATAAACCTTCTTGTATCGATTCTTTAAAAGACAATAACAAGAGCATAAAGACAATAAAAGACCATTATTCTGCGTCTGAATGCAATAAAAAAGAATAAGGAAAGAGAAGTTAGGCTCCAAATGAAAATCTGGTCATTCTCATCCTTTAAAGTCCTGTCTTAAGTCTGTGTCTATACTTTGCACATACTGAATACTGCCGAAATTTAAACCATTAGCAAGATTTCTTTATCTGAAGTCTTACATATGATGTAAATGTCATAGGCATGTTCTGACATAATCATGGCATGGGATAAAGTGTCTTAAACAAACATGATTCCAGTAATTAATCTCCAATAAACAAAACATGATGATCATTTAATGGAATCGTTCTCTATTCAACATATTTCTGTATATTTGCAAAGAGTTTATCTAGTAAAATTAAGCAAGCATTGTGACATATTTTTGATAGAAGCTATATGCAGTACTTATATTTGACTGTCAAAGTGTTTGTGAAGTCCTTCTTATCACCTAATACATCCACAGAAATACATATTTGTTAATAAATAGACGTGTTAATTAATTTTCTGTATATCATTTTTTTCTACAGGTCAACAAAATTTCAACGGTACTGGAAGTAAAAGTACATTCCGTCCATGGCGATTTCTTACCATTGTTAGTAAGTATCCAAACATTTTTTCAAGAGATCAATATGTTCCACCGAGAGCGACTATTCATATCAAATGACCTTACATTCTATCAGGTATTGCATAATTCATAACTGTATTTTGACAAGATATAAGACATAATAGTAAGAAGATTGATAATCTAATCCAACAAAAGCCGACAACAAACCTATTTTCGGCATCACAGATTGATCATAACATTAACCAAACGTCTATACAATACCCAGGAACGTAGTCCATCATTCGTATCGAAATCATTTTCTGTTTTCTGGTAATATTTCATTTTTTGCCTTATCAATGTTTGCGTTTACGTAACAAAATTCATGCAAACTTGATTACCGGAGTATTTTCCTATAGTTTGTCTCCTGATTAGGTAATACACAAGGGAGTCGATAGAGCACATTATTCTTTTACTTGTATGGGTACAAATACATACATCTTACTAATGTACAGTGTTCACTACCATTTGTCCACCTACGATAGCCGACAGAAAAGAACGTTATTATCGTGTTGTTTCAAAGATAAGCACGATGTTGTCCATTGCGTTGTATTGCGTGTACGAACTGTTTATGTCTTATACCAAGAGCGAAAGGTTAGATATATTTCGTTCGTTATTGTTCAGCTATTTATCATTAGCTGGTCGCGATAATGAAAGACGAATGCGTTATCAATAGCATCAGCCATCTACCTGTTTTTGTCTATGTTCATATTGTACAGATCTTGGGATATGTTGTGTCTTCTAATCATTCTAGCAATTGTAAATTGGTATCCTGCTGTCCATTCGTTGATAAAATATGTGTCCTGTGCTGCATTTTCGAAACGTTGCGTGAACAAATTTGGCAGGACTTGCATCGATTTGAAATACGTTATAGAAGTGATAAACACGTAATCACACTGGGTACCTAAGTTATCTTTCACAAAAAAAATTGTCAATTGATTCCTCGATTGTGTATGAAAACTGACAGAGGCACTTGGCCTATCAGGCCGCTTGTCTCCTCCAAATAATACTTTCTTTCTCTCAGAAAAAACACAAGATTTTGATAGATACATATAATAGGTTTTCATATTGTTTTATTTCAATAGTTAAAGTCAAGATTCTTTTTTACATCCTCGTATGTCTCTCGTGTTCCCTAGTCATAGCTTGGTTATTACATTCATCAGATTTCTATTTCGATTCACAAGGTACATTCACGTGCACTTGGCGTTCTTCTCAAATTATCAGATATATGAAAATCACGAAATTTATTGAATTATGTGGCCAGTGCACCACTCTATTTAGATTTTGACATCTCTTGCGATCATTTTCGATTTCTTCAGACGCCTCCAAGGCTTCAAAAATTAGGGCCTTTAGCATTACGAACAAGTCCTAGAAGGACGATATAGCTGCATGCTGCAGTTTTATTCATTGTTTGAGTCTACCATATCCAATTCGTAATTTCAATTGAAAGGTGATATCGACTTTTGTCCTTTATTCTCTCTACTAGAAATTGAAATAATGTACGTACAGCAGACATGTTTGGTTGTGTGTAACGACATCGTTAAAAAGGCTATGTTTCTGTATGAAATCCGCTATATAAACAACGTTTCCATGACCATTGTAGCTCGCTGCATTTCTCATGTATACATGGTTGAAATGTTTAGATGAATGAAACTATGCCCGCGTAGCGCACTTTCCCGTGTGATATTTATGAGATATACATATGCATTAAGATGACGCAATACAATTTTTTTCTTGATCGCTTAAAAACCTGCATATCTGCAACCTTATTATGAGTGAGATCGCAAAATGGTAGCCACATTTTTGCATATTCTGGTTAACGTCATATGTTTTTAGCATCGTAGATTGTTTATAATGCCATTCAAAGCTTGACCTTTAAATGTTGAAGTCGCCAACTAGAACTCTGATGATGTTTATCTATTGATGTTTACGAATGTTTGTGAACAGGTAGCATGCAGGTATTGCATATATAATTTTCGAAATCAGAAAAGATTCCTTGTCAATGTATGGTTGACCATGACATGTTTTGTTTTCTTTTTACAGAGGTGGTCGTCATCAATGTCTTCCTATTTATCATCGCTGTTTCCCTTGTAATTGCAATCGTCTACGTTTGCTACAGGTAATGCTCTTTATGTATCAGTAAGGTTTCACTGTATTAAATGTAATGAAGTCAGATTTTACCTGAGAGAGCAATACGAGCTTTGAATATAAATCTTTACCTCATGAAATGAAATAGTACAGTCACAAAGATAAGGTATATTCATCATTTTCTGTCTCATCTTTCATTGATGCATGTGTTGATATACCGCCCTGCATGTGTGTGTGTGTTCGGTAGTTACTTAGTAAAACTTTTATTTCTTTGTGACAAATAGAAGGATGTCGATTACATCATATCACTCTAAATCATTTATTTTGTTTGGTAATTGGTAATAGTTTATTTCCCCAAAGCGCAACCAATCAAAAATGTTTGGTGATCTCTCGGATTAATGGGAAAGTAAAGTCACCGAAATGTTTCTCATAAATTTGACATATATTGACAATATAATTAAAGTTAATACCTCTGCATAACTCTGACGCTGGATTAGATTCCTGTCATAAGATTAAAATACTAACAATTCTTTATTTGCCAATTGACGTTACTGTAGTTTAGGTATCGACAAAATGATATTTTTTATCGCGAACACGTGTTTAGGTAGCACATGGCTGAATTGTCTTATGAAGCTAAATGGTGTTTTGAGACCTATAGCGAAGTCTTCACCACTGGCGTTGTATGATGACCAGTCTTTGTGTCCACGGTAACGACGTATGCGGACAATAACGACACAAAAGGCATTTTACTCATTTGAGAAAGAAAACAAATACGAATTTTGTGGTAATGCTGATTTTCTGATCGTTAGCAATTGACGTTGTTCAAGAAAGTCGTATTTTCCGTAGAAGTTCTTTCACGAAAACGCATGCAGAAAATCTATAGGACTTTTTTTTAATGTTATATGCAATGCGCGTACCGAGGACATGAATATTCATGTCTAGCAACAGTGGCGCCATATTGTTTTGTCATCGGGGCGCCTTGGGGGTTTGTTGCAGATTTCTCCGAGCCCAGACACTTGTACCAATAGAGGCCAAGCTAAGATATACATATGTGTTTTACGGCTGCTTCAATGTTAGATTACTTAAGTAAGACCAATTTATTTCTTCGTTTTGGTATACGTTAAAACGGTATGTATATATGAATTTACATCGTTAAGAAAAAAAATGAAAATGAAAAAAAGCTCTTTAGAACTAACCATCTTTAGAACTTATCATCTTTAGAACTTACCATGCGTTGTTTTTTTTGTTTGTTTGTTTTTTTTTTTTTTTGTTGTTTTTTTTGTTTTATGAAATGCCTCGATATCTTAATGTTCGCACAAACACTAGCTGAAATGTTTATTAATTAACGCGTTAGAAAGATAGAGAGTAGGAATGGTGGCTGAGCATTTCAAGTATCCGAGATAATACAAACACTCTAATAAGTAGCACTATAGAATAAATTCTAGACTCAGTAATTATAACCAAAGAATATGTGAAACTTTTTTTTGAGAATATATCAGCAGCGAAGCATTGGGTTAAATGGTTTAAATACCGAATTAGAATGAATAGCTTAATGCGCATGATCCTTGAGCGACACAATGGAACATCATATTCCGAAGGAAACTAAAACTTTACAACATTGAACTTCTCTGCCCTTTATCATAATCAGTAACAACATATATATTCACTGATAATACCCCACCTGTACCAGCATTTATCATAATTCATCGATGAACTTGTCAACATATGAGTATGGTTTTTTTTCTGATGAAGACTGATCAGCTAAGAAATTGTGCCGTTCTGCCTAACGAGAAAAATAAATTTTACAAATTGCTTAAATGATTATAAATTGCTGGGGAATAGAAGATAAATCGAAGTATTTTAAATTATACTTTAATTACCAATCATCTCTTGGAGTCTTTCTGAAGTAGGTATCAAATACGTTCTTTCGCTGTGCTGTTATTAATGCCACAGGCGAATTCTAACGCAAATGATTTATCGCCCCTTGGGCACAAACGGGCGACATCAATATTCGAAACGGGAGGAGAGCAATACAACAAGTGTTCTGGTGAGGCGTCGAGATATACATTTCTGTTATTAGAACCTGGATAGCTATAGAGTTATTGTTTATGACGATCTTTTTGTATTCCGTTGTGATACAAAAGGTTTTTCGATATCGATATATTTATTGCACATGCATATTCATAACTTTGTTGACGTCGTTACTAGATAGTGAGATCATAAATATAGGAACAAAAATGTGTTAGTGGTGTTAAATGGATTTAAGAAGTCCCTACCCAATACAGTAATTACTGTTGACAATTTTATTACCGCAGATATATTACTACTTAACTGACATACGAATTAACAAAGTATTCAATTCCATTTAAAATAACGAATTAAAAAGACGATGCATGGATCATTTTAAAATGAAAACATCACCACTAGCTAACGTAAAAGGTAACTGTATGAAAACTAACAAGACTCCGCGTTTTCTATATGCGACATGTAATAGTATTTACAAAACAAAATCTATCTTTGCAGGTACAAGCAAGTTGACAAGGCCGGACGATATAACTTGGCTCCGCAGTCAGACACTGACTCCGGACGTCGGACCACAACGGACACACCTTTGCAGACCTTTTCTGAGGATCTGGGTATGACACCTCCGCGGGGAAGTTCAATGCATTCTTTTACAGCACGTGATCATTCCCAGGTGTACGCTTCACTTACTGAAGACCCTTACGCGACTGTCGGAGATGATCCTGACTATCCCACGAGTAGCTATAGTAACGCAAATCACCATACACGAGATAACCATATGTCTAGTTTCCGGCCAAAACATTCAAACCCTTATGCTTCATATGATAGCTTGGATTATGATATTCCTGCAGAAATTCACGAAACAAACTCTCCAAATCACGTTCATAGTCCGTATATGAACGGAATTGCTACTCATAGTTCTCATAATAGCCCCGCGCATCTACAACAAAGTCCTTATCATATACCTGATCAAGTGACTCAAACGTACCAGAACGCAAATGAAGACTTCCCACCGCCACCTGAGAACCTGCAGCAGTTTGACTTAACGGCTCATGGGGTACCGGTGCAACATTACACAATCAATGATGACGATTACGCAATTGTACAAAAACCTAGAAAGAAGACAATAAATAATCCCGCCAATGCTCGGGCATCCCCTAGTAACAACTCGCAACAATGTGCCTCTCCAAGCAACTTCGCGCGTTCAAACGCTGACGTTGCTTATCACCTTCCAAAGCATGACTGTATGCTCACTTGTAACGTACCGCAATTTGTTCCTCCTCCTCCAAGACAAAATGGAACCACGTCCAATTTTGATAGAACAAAAAATGACCCTAATACCTGGAAGGACGGTTTCTGTTAGTGACGTCATTTGTTGAGGTCATTATCAAGACGTGCAATATGTATATATGTGTTTGGATGTGTGTGCCAATGTTTTTGTCTCTATCGTTATGAAAGATTATGTTAAGAAAGAAAATGTTTCTTTACTTTATTTCTATAGTGTCAGGATAAGTAAGAACATCTTAAGATGTGCTTGATAGTTTTGATATACTGGACCATCCTTTTGGTGGAATATTCTTTAATTACAATGACCTATCTGCTAGACTGGCGTGTGTCATTACCTTTACATCAATCCTCGAATTAGGTTAAGCAAATGAAATGCATATGCAATAACATGATGATCTGGTAGAGATAGTAAATAACCAGAAAGGTAGCAACTAATATACAGGAAAACAATATATCCAAGTAATATACACAAGATTTATTTGATGTTGTATCGTTAGTATGCATTATTTCATTCAGTTTTCAGAAAACATTATACAACATAGACTTGATCTGTGCAATGTGTTGTTTTTTTTTACTATAAACACTGTCAATATACACATTTTTGTAGTAACAAATGCTTGAAGCAAATAAGTATTATCACGTGTCATGAACTGTTTTCTTTATTTTGTCATCTTGTATTACATCCTCAAAAATTGAGAATATAGAACTAATAAGAAACCATTACTCCCAACTCCAATGGAAGGTAGTGATCCTTTCGAAACGTATCATAATATCGATGGTAAGTCTTTTAGGTTTAAAAACGAACTTTTATTGCAGGTAATTTACTTGAGAAATGAGATGGTATTACAGCAGTCTTCAAAGAAACTTAATACATGCTTGCAATTTTTATATGATATACATGTGAAGATTTAGTTCGTTTCGGATTTTCTGTCATCATTACGGTACATCTGAAACGTAATTTCAAATAAAAAGGTTTGCCTTGGGTGAAGTGAACTCAATATCTTCGTACATTCTGTTATTCAGATGAGTGCTTAGTGTGGTTTCTTTCCTTAGAGCTATTCATCTGTAGATAAAAGATTTAAAATACCGGTAAATATCGCTATGATGGCGTCGAAGGTAAGTAGAAATGACGTTTATACTTTTTTGTCAAAAACATGCTAATGAACTTTGAAATATAATATAATACATATATATATATATAAAACATGAATAATATTCTCTAGACACATTAACACGGATTTGTAAACCAATATTTGGCAACAAGTTTACATCATGAACAGTCATCATAGTTACCACAACAATATTATGATAAAAGCGACATACTGGTGGGGTGATTTTGTCATTGTAATGTTTTGCAGAGACGAGTGTTTATTAGTGTATTACAAGTATGCAACCTTTCTGATTGGCTGATTTTTGTCATATAACTAATTTGTATCCTTCAAATGGATTGGACGAGTTTCACATTTGAATTGTTTGCTATGACTTAATCATAATATTTTCCTTCGGTAGATATCTCATTGTGTTTGTCTCAAAAATGATACATATTGTATAGAGGTATATATTTATGATGTACATGGTGATTATGCATGCAACGAATATTAAGTAACCATATTTCTTTCATCATTGTCAAATATTGACTTAATAGGCACGTGACAGATCATTTCAAAAATAACAGTCGGACGGTGAAGTTAAAAAATATCAGTTTGTAACAGAATGTTTCAAGTTTTGTAAAACAAGCGATTTATTTTGCAACATTCATTCATGATTTCGTTCATAATATTTTAACTGAAATTTTCAGCCCATTTTATATGGAGCCGGAGGTTGTTTACTTCGTGTGGTCACCCATCATATTAGTGAGTAATAGTGTTTACCAGAGCGTGTAGAAATTACTTCATAAAGCATCAACGCTTTCTTAAAACGTACAATGTTTGCAAGGTACCAAGAAAACATCTAGCAACACTATATTAATAAAAGGAATATCAAATTGTTAGCATAAATGTGACCCAAACTCAACATTAAAAGAATGTGCAATCTTCACACTTCAGTATAAATATGTTTATATTAAAGAAAGAATTAATGTACGGTTAATGTAACGTCTTGATGTAAATACCAACATAATTCGATCTTAAATATCGATGCTTGAAAAATTTAATCAGCAAATTTATTCATTCATGTCGACATATTCTACAAATGAATGAAAGGTCGATCAATGATTCGGTTATGTTTAAACTCTAGATATCTGAGAAAAAACTGTTTACATTATCAGAAGGTTGAGATCACCCAAAATAGTTTTCTCTTCGTCTTAGATTAAGTGGCGTGTTTACAATATATCATGGTCATGTTTTCAAAAGTATTACATAGTCAAGAAATATGATATACAGAAATAATGGTATGATATTATGAAATTGATATCTATATGTATGATTTATATACTACAAGAAAAGATTTTATATAAACTTTTTGTAAGAAATATTTTCTAACGTAGACCTTTAAACATTATTCATAATATACATTTAAATGAAATAGGTAGCTTGTTTTTTTTTTTATCATTTTTTCATTTTACAGCAGGATATTTGTATGAATATATTGTTGAAATTGAACATGTGTAATAATATATGTTTGGAATGTTTCTGAAATTATATCGGACTACAATCCTGCAGGATATACGTACAATATATATAAAGTAGAATTTTGTGTAACATTACCTCCTGTTAGACGCTCTTATCGTGTCTGGTTTAAAAATGAAATCTGATATTGTAAAATCTAAAACGTTCATATCCTGTCTTCGAATGATATTTGTTAGTCTCTAAGCCACAGCGTCAAACAATCCAGCTGCAGAATGCTTTTGTCATCGGGGATAACTCTGGACATTATATACACGAAATGTTCCAGTTCTTAAACGGAACATGTTAGAAAGATAGAAAATAAGTATCATTATTTATGTTCTGATATATCATACAATGTTACATCTTGATAGATTTTATATTTCACATTTATTATTTAGAATTTTAATAAAATTTACATTGTAATTGATTATCGTTATTGCAATACATTTCGATATATATATATTTTGCATTTAGGCGTTTTTGAGGCATGGTTAAGAAAACACCAAACAGCAATACAGTGACATTATATTTTAACTCTTACATGTCATGACATTTTCGAAAATGTTAATTTCAGAAGGTGAACATGGGGCTACATGTCATGACATTTTCGAAAATGTTAATTTCAGAAGGTGAACATGGGGCTGCAGATGAATATATATATACATTACCTCGTGTTTTATAGACCTGGTTTTAGTAACATTGTTATATGTTATGGAGAACTTTTCATGACAATATCCTGCTTGAATTGATTTAGCGTGTTTCCCTGAATTTTCAATTTTCTACGCGTTTGCCTGTGTTATCTACCAACTATTTGAGTTGTGAAAGAAATAAAACTGGTGTCACTCATTTTTTTTATTTTGTTTGTTGTTATTTAAAACCACTAAAATAATAGTTCACCCACTCATTAGTAAATCTAACGTGTTAATCCATATGTGTTCTGACCTCTTAATCTCGAGAACAGTAGTTTGAGTATTAAGTCATTTCATTACAAAACGTCCTTAATTGAAGGTCAAAGAAGTATTTCAGATTAATATTGCTAAAACAACAAGAAGAAAAATCCGAGAAATCATGCTCAGATTTAAATGAAATCAACCACAGAAAAATTAGATGAAAATTCAATTCATGGATAATGAGACTACATGTTCCGGAAAAGTAAGCGTCTATTGCTTCATATACAACACTTACCATGCGATACTTCGTTAATCCATTTAGGAGATGTCACATTCTCAAATAAGACAAAGAAAGCCTGCATACTACTGAACATTGAATGCATAAAATGGTAACAATCTAATCATGATCGTTTTCGTTGGCTAGCACGCAATGACATAGAATGTGTACAGAGTATAAAAAATTCAAATATGACGACCGATTTCTGACAGTCTGATAACGGATTCGATGAAAACGTGATTCCAACGCATTGCCTTAGTGCACTATCTGTTCACGATAACCTAAGTGTTATCTTCAGGTAAAATGCCCACTGTACTACACGGCTTTTGCAGCGCAACTTATTTGAACGGACTTCGAATCGACAAGCAAATCAAAGAATGTGGAGAATGTCGTTCGTCTCTATCAGTATATTGTTTTGTGTGCTTTTCTGCCGAGAAGCGTTTGCTGATAGGGTACAAAATAATCGTAAGGAAAATGCCGTTCCTGATGAAGTGTTTGAATTGAATCGACGACTGATGAAAATGGAAGCGTTACGTGCCGAAGACACAATACTCATCGGTCAACTTATGACACGGATAGTGAAACTGGAAGATCTGTATTTCAGTAATGAATTCGCAATGACAAGAAAACTTACTGAACTAGAAAAACAACATACATTTAAAATAGCTAAGATATCAAAAGACATGGAAAATCTGATCAAACTACATGATAGGGAAATCAATGAGCTGTCTGAAACACTAGCAAAAACTAGAAATGCACACGAAGCAGACAAATTGAAACTGTGTAAGAATGAAGAAAGAACGGGAAAAGACATGAATATTTTTAATACGACAGATACTGATGTCCATTCATCGAATCTGACACACGATACCAATGCCTTGTCTGCAGCTGCTGGCGAGGAAGAGAAAACGGGATCAGCATTTGAATTGCAGAAATCATTCCCGAAATTCTCGCGTAGATTGGTAAAGATACCTGAGATCGGATTTGAAGGTAAGGAATCATGTTGATACTGACAGCATAGAAATTCATTGTATCGAGATGTAATGATTGTCTGATGCATTCTAACTTGAAGGAATGCTTTTGATTCCCAATACAACATAGTTTAGTTTTGACGTTTGCACCAATAATGGATCAAGTGAACATATCCAATTTGATACTTCCGATTAAAGCGCGGCTTGACGTATTATTTTGGTTACTTGGTATGGCGTAAAATTTGCTACACCCGCCATAAACCTTGTTTCAAATTTAAAAGTTGGCCAGTACCGTGCGCTACACACAATACCAAGTTTAAGTAACACATTTAATCAACAGAATTAATGTTTTCGAAAATGCAACTTAAACATCTATGGCATGGTCTTCACTGTGTTATATCACAATCAAAATAAACATGTTTCTTAAGACTAAAATTTCCATATTTTTTTAAAAAAACTTTTATATCATTTATCAACAGATAACGTTATTGCCTTCAGTGTCGCTCCTCGAGACGTCATATCTGATCCTGGCTCCGGGCAAACTGTGATCTTCGACAACGTCTTAACGAACGTAAGCGCCACATACAGTCCTTCTTCTGGAATATTTCATTGCAATCACCGTGGTGTTTATGTTTTCTTCTGGACAATAGAGGTCGCAAATTCCCACTTTATTAGTACCGAATTGGTGCGGAACGGTGTTGTTATCGGTGAAATTACCGTCACTGGTAGTACCGACTGGAGATTAGCCTCTAATCTCCTTTCAGTAGTGCTGAACTTTGGTGACGAAGTTTGGGTTCGTATTGATGGTCATTCACCTGGAGCGGACATTCAGAAATCGGGAACTTCCTTCACGGGATTTTTGCTTCACTAAAAATTAAAATGCATGGTAAGACACGAAATTC